CTACTTATGGCGGTGGCGGTGCAAAACAAGCCCACCATCGAGGCTGTCGGACGTTCTCTGTCGGTTTTTCAGCTGTTTTCTAGCCTCGGGACGCGTTCCAGCGGCCGCGCCTCGCCGGGAGCGTTGAGGGGGTGCTGGGATCGCCCCGAACGGCTGTCGGGGACCCGAGTTGTGACCTCAAAACCAACTTCGGCGGCGCGCCTGATAGGGAAGGGCGAAGGAGAAGGCCTTCCCACAAGGCGGCGGGGCTTCTCAGAATCCCCCGCCGCCGTCTGAGAAGTGTTTGGTGTCTTCGGAGAAGGCCGAGGGAACTTCACAGAAGGCCGAGGGACTTCCGAGCCTCCTTGAGAAGGGCCGCCCCTTTTCATTTCCCCCCTGGCTCGCCGCCAAGCTGGGGTTCTGAGGGATGGGGGCCTGAGGATGGGAAGGGATCCGAGCCTCGTCCTTCACCCCATTCCTCAGGACCCCATCTTTTTGCTGCGAGCTCGGGGGGGGGGGGCGAGAAGCGGCGGGCCGCCCCTTTTCATTTCCCCCCTGGCTCGCCGCCAAGCTGGGGTTCTGAGGGATGGGGGCCTGAGGATGGGAAGGGATCCGAGCCTCGTCCTTCACCCCATTCCTCAGGACCCTATCTTTTTGCTGCGAGCTCGGGGGGGGGGCGAGAAGCGGCGGGCCCTCGAAGAAGGTTCGGAGGTCCCCCGGCCTTCTGAGAAATGTGCTGGGCCTTTCCCGAAGACGCACACAACCTCCGAAGGAGAGGAAGGAATCCGAGGTTGGATTTACGTTGTTCGAGGCACCTCGTCCGTGGCACCCCATCCCTCGGGACCCCATCTTTGAGCCACCGACGCGTTTTCCGTGCGTTGGAGGACCGGGAGGGCCATGCCCCCCTCCCTGTGATCTTGGGCGCCCGCGCTCGAATAAAGAAACTGCATAAACATCATTTTTGGAGCTCCGCGCGGGTTTCCGGCGTCCGCGCTGGAGCCCCCCTGGCGCCGCATCTGGCGCCGTCCCTGGCGCGCGGCGCGCGCCAGGGAGCGGGCTCCCGCGCAGATCCAAGAACTCCGCGCGGACCTCCGAAAGTGCACCCATCGGTCGCTGAACGTGTGCATTCCTGGAGATCCCAGATCCCAGTCTACTCTGAAGCGCCTGCATCTACACCTTACGCGATGCTTAAGAAAACCTAAGTTTTCGTCCAGAGTCTCGATGTTTCTTAACTTTTCCATGTCAATCCCAAGATTGTCATAGAAGTTCTGGGTTTTGTTCAGTTTCTGAGACTGTGAATTTCTTAACCCATGATTTCTTGAGCATTTCGCAGGGTGCTACTCTGAAGCGCCTGCATCTACTCCAGTGATCGCGCGGCCTCACCGGCCCCGTCCTCTTCTTGGGAGGAGGGCGGGCGGACGTCGAATCCGTCCTCAGCGCCTTCTGCTTCGTGCTCCGACCTTCCTCTTCCGACCGATGGGTGCGTTCACGGTAGGTTTGCGTCGTGTCGACCGGCGGCGACCCCGCCGCCGACGTTCAACGTTGAACGCCGACGGCGGCCCAGAATCGGTCGATGTTGAACGATCGGACGTTGCGGAGACGGCCGATCGTTCAAGGCTGAACGATCCAGCGCGGTGTCGGGAACCGACGCCAGGGTCGACACGGCACGGACCTGCAGTATGCAGTCTCCCCCCCCTCGACGCAAGCCCCCTGCCCGGTGATCCCGGGCGCCCGCGCGGGCGTCGCCCCGAGAGCCGAGGCCGGAGGCCGCCCCGGCTGCCACGCCGGCCCCCTGCCCTGCTCCCTCCACCGTGCCCCCCCGCCCCCTCTCGTGGGAGCGTAAGACCTGGGTTTGCCAGGACTCGGGTTCGCCATCGTTTTTTGACGACCGCGCCTCGGATTCTGACGAGGAGGAGTTTCGTGGGATGTCTGCAGCGGGAGGCCTCGTCAGAATGCAGGCTCGGCCTCGTCATTTTTCTGACGACCTCGTCGGGGATTTCCGAGTCCCCTGTACCCAGGTCTTACGTCCCCCTGACCCTCCTTTGGCATCGCTCGGACGTGTGCGTTTTTTCCTCGGCGAGGACCATCGAGGAGCATCCTCGATCACTCGGCGAGAGGAAGACACGCACGAAACCGACAAAAAAGCACAGGGACAGGACGTCCGAAAGATGGCGAGCTTCCCGTGCCCTCCCTCCCCGATGGACGGGCGCGGGGGTCCCCCGCGGGGGCTTCCCGGCTCGAGGCGTGTTGCTCCTCAAGTCGGGGGCGGCAAAGAGGGGGGGTGATGAGTAGGGGGGGGGGGATATCGTGGCGTGGGCCATGATATTTCCCCAGACTTCATGGCGCTTCTTCTTATCTAATCGCTTCGCTTATTCCGCCGGCCCATGATGAGGCACCGCGGTCGATTGGGCGAGAGGTCGTCGGCAGTGCGGAGCTGCAGGGGTCGGCGCATGTTTTTTTCTGAGGCGTTGCGTTCGGGATGGTGGTGTTGAAGCTGCCCCCGCGAAACAGTTTGCGGAGGCTTTGGGCGGGGATTGCGGAGCTTTAGGGTGCGATTTTTTCCCAACCCTCCTTGGTTGGGTATTCGTTTTGAATAGAGCAGTGTGGTCGCGTCCTTCCTCCTCCCGCCTCCCGCCTCTTTCCTGCCTCTTTCTGTCTTGCCTGCGGGGGGCTGTGAAACTGTCGCCAGTTTCGAGGCCTGCTGGGGGGTCCAGCATAGAGGGCAATCGCGGCAGATCCAAATTAGACCTCGCCATTCCTGGGGGGCTGCGATCTGTGAAACTGTCGCCACTTTCGAGGCCTGCTGGGGGGCTCAGCATAGAGGGTAATCGCGGCAGATTCAAATTGGTTAATCGCGGCAGATTCAAACTAGACCTCGCCATCTCTGGGGGGCTGCGATCTGTGAAACTGTCGCCACTTTCGAGGCCTGCTGGGGGGTCCAGCATAGAGGGTAATCGCGGCAGATCCAAATTAGACCTCGCCCTCCCTGGGGGGCTGCGATCTGTGAAACTGTCGCCACTTTCGAGGCCTGCTGGGGGGTCCAGCATAGAGGGTAATCGCGGCATATTCAAATTAGACCTCGCCATCCCTGGGGGGATGCGATCTGTGAAACTGTCGCCACTTTCGAGGCCTGCTGGGGGGTCCGGCATAGAGGGTAATCGCGGCAGATTCAAATTAGACCTCGCCATCCCTGGGGCTGCGATCTGTGAAACTGTCGCCACTTTCGAGGCCTGCTGGGGGGTCCAGCATAGAGGGTAATCGCGGCAGATTCAAATTAGACCTCGCCATCTCTGGGGGGCTGCGATCTGTGAAACTGTCGCCACTTTCGAGGCCTGCTGGGGGGTCCGGCATAAAGGGTAATTGCGGCAGATTCAAATTAGACCTCGCCATCCCTGGGGGGCTGCGATCTGTGAAACTGTCGCCACTTTCGAGGCCTGCTGGGGGGCCCAGCACAGTGAGGGCCACGCGCGGATTCAAATTAGACCTCGCCATCCCTGGGGGGCTGCGATCTGCGAAACTGTCGCCATTTTCGAGGCCTGCTGGGGGGCCCAGCACAGTGAGGGCCACGCGCGGATTCAAATTAGACCTCGCCATCCCTGGGGGGCTGCGATCTGCGAAACTGTCGCCATTTTCGAGGCCTGCTGGGGGGCCCAGCACAGTGAGGGCCACGCGCGGATTCAAATTAGACCTCGCCATCCCTGGGGGGCTGCGATCTGCGAAACTGTCGCCATTTTCGAGGCCTGCTGGGGGGCCCAGCACAGTGAGGGCCACGCGCGGATTCAAATTAGACCTCGCCATCCCTGGGGGGCTGCGATCTGCGAAACTGTCGCCATTTTCGAGGCCTGCTGGGGGGCCCAGCACAGTGAGGGCCACGCGCGGATTCAAATTAGACCTCGCCATCCCTGGGGGGCTGCGATCTGCGAAACTGTCGCCATTTTCGAGGCCTGCTGGGGGGCCCAGCACAGTGAGGGCCACGGGCAGATTCAAATGAGACCTCGCCATCCCTGCGGGGCTGCGATCTGTGAACCTGTCGCCACTTTCGAGGCCTGCTGTGATCCCCGTTTTCGAAGTGGCTAGGAGTGCTCAGGAATTGTAAATCATCAGCTTTATCAAGCCCTTTTCCTGTAGCCAGTGTCCTGCGAGTCTCCCGAATTCCGTCTGCAGACATATGTAACCCTCGCTCCGTCATCGCCCCCTTATAAAGTATCCTAAACTATTTGCGCCCCGCTTTTGCGCAGGGGTTGGGTACGTCGCCAGGGTATTTACCTAACAGCGAAGACTGATAGGTTTCTAGTTGACTCAAAAGAGCTCACAGATCACTCCACAGGGGGGTCCGGGCAGGCGTTGGGAGTTGCCGGCCGGGCCTGTGCCGGGCTCGTTTTTCACCAACAGTCACACACTTCGTGCTCGTCGACCTCTCAGAACCCCATTCCCAGGCCACATTCTGAATAACCGGATGCAACAGTCACACACTTCGTGCTCTTCGAGTTCCCAGAACTCCATTCCCGGGCCACATTTTGGATGCCCGGAGCCAACTGTAGGCCACTTCGTGCTCTTCGAGTGCCCAGAACTCCATTCCCGGGCCACATTTTGAATGCCCGGAGCCAACTGTAGGCCACTTCGTGCTCTTCGAGTTCCCAGAACTCCATTCCCGGGCCACATTTTGAATGCCCGGAGCCAACTGTAGGCCACTTCGTGCTCTTCGAGTTCCCAGAACTCCATTCCCGGGCCACATTTTGAATGCCCGGAGCCAACTGTAGGCCACTTCGTGCTTTTCGAGTGCCCAGAACTCCATTCCTGGGCCACATTTTGAATGCCCGGAGCCAACTGTAGGCCACTTCGTGCTCTTCGAGTTCCCAGAACTCCATTCCCGGGCCGCATTTTGATGCTGATGCAGAGGCTGAGAATGGTGATGCTGATGCTGAGGCTGAGGCTGAGGCAGGCAGGCTGAGGCTGATGAGGCTGAGGCAGGCTGAGGCTGAGGCCGAGGCTGAAGGCAGGCTGAGGCAGACGCTGAGGCAGGCTGAGGCTGAGGCAGGCTGAGGCTGAGGCTGAGGCTGAGGCAGGCTGAGAGGCAGGCTGAGGCTGAGGCTGAGGCTGAGGCTGAGGCGGATGCAGGCTGATGCTGAGGCAGGCTGAGGCACAGAGGCTGAGGCTGAAGGCAGACTGAGGCTGAAGCTGAAGCAGGCTGAGGCTGAGGCTGAGGCAGGCTGAGGCTGAGGCTGAGGCAGGCTGATACTGAGGCAGGCTGAGGCTGTGACTGCGACTGCCGCTGCCACTGCGACTGTCATCGCGAATGCGACTGCGACTGCGAGAACAGCAGAACTCTACAACTGGATTCTCATCTGAATCTTAAGGGGAATGCTTCCATATATGCTTCTACACATCGCTGTTAGGTTGCTTTGCCGGGATTTTTTTTTTGTTTTTTCCCCCCGTGGGGTAGAACAAACGTTTGTTTAACGGAAGAGGAAGGAGGCGGCCTCTTCCTCAGCATCGAGAGCAGGCCCTGGAGGCGGCGCCTCCTGGGCCTGCCCCCCAGGCCCCAGGGAGGGGGCCTCCTGGGCCGAGTGCCCAGACGCAGGGCCCCGAGGCCCTCCAGGAGGCCCCAGCAAAGGCGGGCTCCGAAAACCTCCTCCTTCCTCGCCCAGCTCCCTGGCCGCGACGCGGCGCCGCATGGCCTCCAGCGCTGGGAGGAGCTCGCCCTGCTGGGCGGGGAGGTGAACAGCACGTCGCCGAGGCTGCTGGGTCTGCAGCAGCCGCAGGCGATCCACATCTGAAAGGACATGGAGGACCACCCCTGGCGCACGAGGCCGTTCGGAGGCGCTTGGGAGCTTTCTGGGGCGTCCTGGGAGCCTCTTGGCGGCATCTTCGGCCTCTTGGGGGCCTCCCGGGGCATCCTGGGGCCCTCTTGGTGCAGAAAGCTAAAGTTTTCGGTTCGTGGTCCCTCTCTTGGGCCCCTCTTGGGGCCGTCTTCGGGCTCTCTTGGGCCGTCTTGGTGCCTCTTGGGCCGTCTCGGGGCCTTCTTGGGCCGTCTTGGGGCCTTCTTGGAGGCCTCTTGGGCCGTCTTGGGGCGCTCTTGGGGGCCTCTTCGGCCGTCTTGGAGCGTCGGAAAGGCGAGAAGGCGAGGAAGCCAAGAACCTTCAAACACCTAATGGAAATCACGGAGTTGTGCCTCTTGGGGCTCCGTTTTGGAGCGTGTTGGGGTCATTTTCATGCTTCTTGGCGCCTCTTGGGGCCTCTTGGGGGGCCTCTTGGGGCGTCCTGGATGCCTCTTGGAGCGGAAGGCTCGGATGTTCGGTTCGTGGTCTCCATCTTGGGCTCCTCTTGGGGCCCTCTTGGGCCGTCTTGGGCGCATTTTGGGCTGTCTTGAAGCTCTCTTGGGCGGTCTTGGGTCTCTCTTGGGGGCCTCTTGGGCCGTCTTGGGGTGGTCTTGGGGGCTTCTTGGGGGCCTCTTGGGCCGTCTTGGAGCGTCGGAAACGCGAAAAGGCGAGGAAGCCAAAAACCTTCAGACACCTAATGGAAATCACGGAGTTTTGCCTCTTGGGGCTCCGTTTTGGAGCGTTTTGGGGTCATTTTCAGGCCTCTTGGCGCCTCTTGGGGCCTCTTGGGGGCCTCTTGGGGCGTCCTGGAGGCCTCTTGGAGCGGAAGGGTCGGATTTTCGGTTCGTGGTCTCCATCTTGGGCCCCTCTTGGGGCCCTCTTGGGCGCCTTTTAGGCTGTCTTGGGGCCCTCTTGGGCGGTCTTGGGTCTCTCTTGGGGGCCTCTTGGGCCGTCTTGGGGTGGTCTTGGGGGCCTCTTGGGCCGTCTTGGAGTGTCGGAAAGGCGAAAAGGCGAGGAAGGCAAAAACCTTCAAAAACTTCGGGATAATCATTGA